TTCCATGCCCGTCTTGATTTTAGCTCCAGGAATTCTCCGGTGGGACGCATGTACAGTTTTTAGGCTTGATGTCTTTCGCTGGATACACGTTAAAATGTCCCATCGTAAGTGTATTCCCTCATTTCATGCAAGAATCGAGGGAATAGTGAGGCTCGGTTCGTTCTTGATCTTGTATGTACATTAAGAAAATTAACAGTCGGCCCATTGGTCAAGAATCTTGCCATGTGCTTCAGTTTTTGATAGTTAAAATAGTTTTTTTTTGTCAATTAGAGCTTGATTTAGGTCTTCTGAGGGCCTTACTGAGAGGAGCTTCCGTTGGGTTTCCATGTTCATTATATTGCAAATGAAGATGTCCGTAATCTATTCGGTCTCCCTAAAATTACATGTACTCGCTAAATCTTTGAGAGAGCCCCAAAAATGTTCGAATCTCCCGATCTTTTGATTTGAGGTTCAGCAATTTAAACTTCTTGAAGGTTGACTTGGGAGGTTTGTAAAAGGCAGTATCTAGTAGGTTCCAGAATTCCGTAAACAAAATGGCTAAAAAATTTATCAGATTTTTTTTCGAGCAAAAATCCTTTTTTCTTCGCTGCCAAGTGCTAAGAACCGATTCGAGCGTCACTTTTTGTCGGCGTCTTCTCGTCTCATCCCATTATAATTTTTCTTTTCTTCGTTGATCCGCTTTTCGTCGACGCCTTCGTATGATTTAAAAGCGTTTTTGTTCCTCACTTCTCTACTAATTCTATCTGAGCCCAACTCACTTCCTGTGGCTTGCTCCAGAATTGGAACTTGCGTTTATGGTACCTCCGGCCCGTTAAGACTATCTAAGACGAATCTCCCGATCTTTTGATTTGAGGTTCAGCAATTTAAACTTCTTGAAGGTTGACTTGGGAGGTTTGTAAAAGGCAGTATCTAGTAGGTTCCAGAATTCCGTAAACAAAATGGCAAAAAAATTTATCAGATTTTTTTTCGAGCAAAAATCCTTTTTTCTTCGCTGCCAAGTGCTAAGAACCGATTCGAGCGTCACTTTTTGTCGGCGTCTTCTCGTCTCATCCCATTATAATTTTTCTTTTCTTCGTTGATCCGCTTTTCGTCGACGCCTTCGTATGATTTGAAAGCGTTTTTGTTCCTCACTTCTCTACTAATTCTATCTGAGCCCAACTCACTTCCTGTGGCTTGCTCCAGAATTGGAACTTGCGTTTATGGTACCTCCGGCCCGTTAAGACTATCTATGTCCAGATTCTCTTTCGCAATTATCGCCAATTAACATTGGTCGCTTCAGTGGGTCCAGGAAATTGGTAGCTCTAAGCTATGATTTGGCCAGAATGAGGGAATTCCACGCACCTTCCATTCATGTGGCTGCGCCATAATAAAATGTTCCAATAATCTAGATAGCTTTGTACAGTATATGTAAAGTTACTTAAAAGAATAAAAAAGTAAATTGAATTGTTAATTCAAACGTTTGTTTTAAGAATAACATTAACTAGCAATGATGGACCAATGGTCGAATCAAGCGAAGTTTTGACTGGTATCTAATCGATGTAGGGCAATGACTGGTATCTAATCGACATAATGACATAATGATAAAAATCAAACCACAACAGGCCCTCTATTGCAAAAACTTTCTCATTGAAGGCTAATAATTTGCCACGGTATAAATAGTTTGACTGGAAGATTTGACTAAAACATTTTTTTTATCATGGAAATCTTTGAGTGTTTTGCACAATAATCATCATAGATTGTATTTATGAATCAAAAGTAAAGATACCTTTCAGTGGCCAAAAAGTGATATATTAAACTCATAAAAATTATCCCTAAAAAAAACGAAAAAACCAGAAAAAACGGAAAAGAGGAAAACGTAGCAAACCGAAATCTCTGTCTGTTATGATGGCCCCTTGGATGCAATGAATCTTTGCCCAGCTGAGACACTGAAAAGTTTTAAATTTTTCCCGTATTGTTTTTTTTCTCAAACTCTTACAAAGCGAATTTCGATTAGTTTTTGGTGTTTTGGTTAATGAATAAGTTTTTTATACAAGGAGAGACCTTCTCGGAAAATGAATATTAAAAAAATTTTGAGAAGCATTTTGATAGTTTTTGTGTACTCCTCAAAATGGATGCTTTTTATCAGCTTTGAGTTTATTTTAAATTTCTAATTAATTAATAATACGTATAAAAAGTTGTTTTCAGGCTCACAAGTTTGTAGATTTGTGCAAGATATTGATAATCACTATATCATTTTGTGAAGCCTGAGAGAAAACCTTTAGACAAAATGGTCCCTTTTTGAACGTCTCTGAAATGGAAAGTTTGACTGATTCGGTTAACTGAAAAAAAATCGTCTTTCTTCATTTGAGGGGTTATCGAGCTGTATTTTTTGAGCCTAATAAAATCTGAGAAACTTGTTTAAAGTTTCTCCCACAAAGGAAGTCACTTACTTTAAGGGCTGAGAAACGAAGTACGGTTCATAAAACAAAAGTAAAACAGAAAGGTTTGCTTAATTTTTCATAATTGTATATTGACAGAGCTTTGATAAAATTCCCAGTGAGATGTTTATTGAGGTGAAAATTTGTTTTCCTTATAGGCAATACTACTAATTGTGGTTTCTGCGATTTGCGGCAGATCTATGAAAGGCTATCCAGTCTGTCTAAGCTTACTCCACTTCTCGTTTCCCCCACATTCCAGACTGAGTTATTTTGTTGCGCGCAGCTCTTTTTTTTCGCAACTACAGGCCTTTTTTTGCGTTTATAATTTTCATGTGGTACCACTATTGCAGCCATAATCGGTCAAGCTGTGGTAGACCTGAAGCTAAAGGTCAAGTGACAGGCTTATCCTCCCACACTATCATTGCCATGGCACGGGCTCAATTACACGATCTGACGCTCTCGAAATGAACGCCTTACCACTTTACTAAGAGCCTTCTCAACACATTTGTTGCACTTGCTATACTTTATATAGCTTTCAGCTTTTAATTCCGCCAGTGAAGTTTGAAATATATTGTTTATTCTTGGTTTCAGGACTATTTGCCCCAAGTCAATTGGCCCTATGCCAACATGTTCTATACTAACTTGCCCTACATGGCAATTTGTCCTCTGCCAACTTGCCCCACATAACATTTTGTCCCAAGCCGTTTTGCCCCATACTTATTACTTTTACTTGATTCTTTGATGTTCAAGTTAAGGACCAGCAAATGCTAATGGACACTTGACTCGATTTGAGATAACAGAAGACTCTAATCGAAAATTATTGAAGCTGAACCTAAAAAACTATAATTTTTAGTAATTACACGACAAAATTTGAAAATAAACCACAATTAGCGCCTTTGAAACAAAAGGAAGCACGAATATTCTTTCATTTTGCTTCTTTGCTTACCATTTTGTTCCACACATCCAACATAAATACTATGAGTCAACTTACGTGGGGAATATCCCAACGAAATAAACGAACACGATTTCACAATAACGGCACGATTTCGGACACGATTTCACAATAAGGCAAACGACAAAAACTACTGAGCACTGGAGATGCGCAAGATACAATTCACACAATTTTTTTATTATCTGGCACGAGTTGGCATTGGACAAATAGTCTTCTGGGGCAAGTTGGAATCGGACAAGTTGGGCTGGGACAAGGTGACTTGGGGCAAAATTTCATGTAACCCTACTTTTTGCTGCTCATTAATTGCTCAAAAAGATTTTTTTTATCTTAAGAAAGCTCTGTTTTTTTGAAAAATTTGCAATGTTTTCTGCAGAAGCAGGGCTTGATTGAAAAGTTTGGTTTGTGTTTTGGTCTTTCTTTTTCTTGAGTTGAGAAGAAATTTCATTAAATCTTACATTTTTTTTAACAAAGGCCACCTTTACAATTTATTGGGCTGTATTTTAATAGCATTTTAAAATATGAACGTTTTCTCAAAAAAGCTCTCCTACACAATAATAATTCTTCCTTGAAAATGTAAGTGAGTTTTTAATTTTTTCGCAATCAAAGAGTCATTGTTCTCTTTCTTTGAGTTTAATATCAAAGTTTTGTTAAACTGATTTTGTTTAATTTAAATTTAAACCAAAAAATGGATCAAGAAATCATTAATTTTCTTTTATACTTATATACTCATCGGTTTTGTTTTAGAAGCATGGTAATTTGAGTACAACATCGCAAGCAGATTGATGAGTCAGGTTTAACAACAAAAAAGTGCAGTAAAATTTTGGGATCTACTTACCAATTTCCCCCTTTCAAGAAAGGGGGAGATTCTTTAGTAGGTACAAAAGGGGGGGGGAAGTTGGTTAAGTAGATTCAAATTAGTCAAACAGTGTTAACAACTCTAGGATTTTCTCGAGGGGGGGAAGCGGATTTTCAAAAAAATTTCGAAAATTTTGACGACCTTTTTTTTAGGTCGACCAAATTGATTTTCCGAGCTCTCGTAAAGCACTGAAAGGACGCTGTTTTTGCCAAACTTTGTGCGCGGCAGGCAAATTTTTTTAAAAACAGGTCAAAAAAGCCGTTTTTGGGCACTTTTTGGAAAACTTTGACAGAAAAATCACGTTTTTTTTTGACGCGCGTTTTTACAACTGTTTTAAAACAGTTTTTAAACTGGAACTTCTAGGAATATTTCAGTGCGGGAAGTAAACTGAACTGATGGCTAGAGCATCCATAGTTTTCTATCTTGATTGCTTCTTGAATGCAGTCACACTAACTTTGATATCAAAACTGTCATTGAAAGACAGTGAGCCCACTGGAAAAAATTCTGCCTTGTTTTCTTTTTTGACATTTGGTTTTTCATTGTTTTTCTTTCATATCAGTTATTATGGCTTTATGGTCAGATGTCAGAGTCGTTAGTTTGTTCACCACGCCAAAATTCATTACACGAATTGCTATTTTTATTCCCAGGAATCATTGATTGAACTAGTTTCAAATTCTTGGATGAAAGAACTCCGAGAACTATGACTCAGACATATATCCTAATTCTCTCCGAGAATTATCCCAGAAACAATATATGAACAGTCTGTAGTTTTCAGGCGTGCGGACTATTTCGGTGGAGCCTCTGCCGTCCGCCATGAAGCGTCTGGCGACGTCAGTGGTGCTGAACAAATTCGACCCCTCTCTCTACTCGCTGCATAGGAGCGCAATTTCGCACAAGAAAGGATGTGCGCAGAGCCAAGAGGATGCCCTCAATAAGGGGGGCTCCGAGGTAGTGGACGTTCCCTGCGATGGGGCATCTCGGGATGATACAATTACTGAATCGACAACCATTGACAACCTCCTTCAATCCTATTCGTCTATGCGGCAAAATGTAAGCTATGCCGATGAAATTCGATCATATTACATCAATTAAAAATCAATAGGAACCCATCTTTTTGTTCAAATATTTTTTGTTACAAAAATTTATCATAATGCATCACTTTCATTGCGGACAGCCTCTTACATGAAGAAAAGCAGAGTGGCTTCAAAACTTTGTCGAGTTTTTTTAGCCCACTAAAACACTTTTGAGACTCATGTTCGCCATAGTTTTCTTCACCGCTAACAAATTCTTAAAAAAGGGGTCAAAATCACCTTTTCAGGCAAATAAAATTTGATGTCGCAAAATAGTATCAAATGGAGGTCTCTTTTTCCTTCCCCCCCCCCACCTCACACGAGCACCAATGTTATGGTGTAACGAGTGGTTTTACAAGGTTAATTATGAACAGCAAATATGTTTGCCATGCCCTTATTAGTCCGTATGCTAATTTTCCTAACAATCGAACAATGTGAACAAATTTTTCATTCTAAAATTTTGCAGGTGGGGGGGAAAAGAAAAAGAGCCAAATGGAGGCCCCTTCTTAATCCGTACTTATATAGACATCGGAAAAGGCCGATTGATGAAACAGTTAAGAGACCTTTCAGTCAAGTTTTTAGAAAGCCGAAACTTGACTCAAAATAACGTAATTTTGGTCTGAATATTTTTTCTATTCAAACTAATCGGCTCTTTTCCAGTTTCCCCCCCCCCCCACCTTTCAAAATACCGAGTTTTATGTTTTTTTTACGTGTTACTACGGCTAAATGCGTGATGTTACGCTGTAAAGTATGAGGAAAAAATCTGTTCACAGTTGTCGATTTGTTGGCTCTTTTCCAGTTCCCCCCCCCCCTTTCGAATTCAATTTTGAAAAATCTATTTAACGTTGTCATAATGCAATGAAATTTGGCGTGGTGAACAAATCGTTAATTCTGAACAGATTTGTTCTTCATACTTTACAGCGTAACATCACGCATTTAGACGTATTAACACGTAAAACAAACATAAAACTCGGTATTTTGAAAGGGGGGAACTGGAAAAGAGCCGATTTGTTCACTACGCCAAATTTCATTGCATTATGACAACGTTAAATAAGCTTTTCAAAGTTGAATTTGAGAGGGGGGGGATGTTGTGATTCTTACCATTTGTTTTATTTCACTAATTACTTTAAAGTATCTTAACTGGTTAATCTTGATTTGACCTTGTTATCTTCATTCTCTCCGACGGAGAGAATGACCGTTCACTTTTTAAATGTTTTAACATAGAGATTAATTCACTTTTTAAACATATCTTATTTGTAACTAAGTAGAATTAAGCGTAACAAAGGAACATTTTATCATGGCGCAGTCAAACAGAAACGAATCAAACGTGAGATGTATACCTTCATTTTGGCAAAACCACACAGTGGACCCACCAATTCCTTGGGAAGAGTGGAGCGATCTATTCCAGCTAGCAATAATCGCGAAAGAGAATATCGACATCGAAAATCTTTTGAATCCAACGGAACGATATCACCCACCTCCCCCAACATTGGAAAATTGGCCGGAAAACGAATCCGACGCTCAAAAAACATCACGCATCGAGAGGAATATTCAAGAACAAAAGAGATTCGATGATGAAGAAATGGCCTCAATAAAGTCAGAAACCAAGAAATTCAACGGCATGAGACTGGAAGAGGCGGACAAAAAACTAAGATCCATACTTTATCTAGCCCTCGGAAACGAAGGAAAGAAAATATTCGGCCAAAAGTTCACGAGAGTCAAAGTTCTACAAATTTCTTTCAAAGAATTTTGGGAAAATTTGTCCACAGCTTTTGTGAGAAAAACAAACATAACCTTCGAAAGACACAAACTCCTAAACAGAAAACAGAGGGACAGAGAATCATTAGAACAATTCTGGGGGGCACTGGCAGAAATGGCAAAACGATGTAACATTCCCACAGGAGAAGATGAATGGATTAGAGATATTTTTATTAATAACATGAAGAATTCAGATATCCAACGGAAACTCCTCACGGAAACCTTACCACCACTAGAAGCCTTAAACGTAGCCCTGATTGACGAAAAAGGAATTACAAACCACATCAAGATGACGAATACTTTTAAATCCAGCGGATATTCTTCCAACAAATCTTTTAATCATTTTAATGTAAAAAGAGAACCCACCCTAAACATTGAAAGAAATAACACATGCATGAAATGCGGCGGAAATTTTACAAAAGGACATCTAGCGGTTTGCCCTGCCAAAGATACAACATGCACGACTTGTAAGTATCGAGGACATTTTACTAGACTCTGTAAATCACGCCGTAAAAATGTAAATATTGTGGATAGTCAAATTGTAAATAATACAGATCATCATTATCCTTCGGAACAACCAGACGTACACATTGACCACGCTAATAGAGAATGCTGTGGAGTAATCAACGCATGGTCAGAGTCTGGACATAGCGATAACGATGAATACTCTGTATTAAACGTAACAACTATCTACGACGATCAAGGAAAGGAACTGAAGAAACTACTAAATATCGGCTTAGGAAATGAAAACCAAGTAATTCTCAATATACAGGTGGATTCAGCAAGCCCTGTAAGCTTCCTTAAACAGAATGTGTTACACGAGTTGAAACTACGAGACCCCTACGTGAAAATATATCCAGTGGATAAGGCTACCAAGGAACTCTATTGTGGATTTACGAACAATGCAATAAATATCACTGGAAAAGTAATTGTCCCAATTTTCTCAAATGGATGGTCCCACAAGGAATGTCACTTCTTCCGAACTCAAGGTCATGAAAGAAATATCTTGGGAAATGACAATTTACCAAAAGTCGGAATCGAAGTTTCACAAAAACAATACGCAACATTCACCAACAAGAGAACCTGTAAGTCTATCAATTCAGTTAACTCACTTGACATAGATAATGAAATAGAAATGATTGGAAAAACCTTCAAACAACTATTCCTTCGGATTGGAAAAATAAAAAATCAAACAAAAATTACACACTTTCATGAACCATTAAAGCCAATTCAATTAAAAGGCAGGAGGGTCCCTTTACATTTACTGGATTCAGTAAAAACAGAATTATACAGGCTTAAATCCGAAGGAAACATCAAAAAATTAGAAAATTGTGACGAGGACAGATTTATTAGTCCGATAGTTATTACTTGTAAAAAAGACAAATCGATAAAGCTAGCCCAGATTCAAAATTTATCAACAAACAAATCTACAAGAACAAATATCAGATGCCTAATATACACGAATTAGTTGATAACGTAGTGGCTCAAATTTCAAACAATTCCGTCGGAGAAGTACAAACCTAGACCTAAAGAACGCATATAGTCAACTTGCGCTGGACAATTTTACTAGCAGCCAATGCAATTTTAGTCTAGTCGGCGGAGATATAACAGGCACTTATCAATTTTTAACGGGTTTTTACGGACTCGGCGATATGCCAAACGAGTTTCAGAGAGTCATGGACTCAACTTTGGGAAACATTCCTTTTACAAATTGTTACCTCGACGACATATTAGTCGCTTCCAAAGGAAGTTTTAACGATCACAAGAAAATCGTTTATAAAATTTTATCAACGTTAGGCACTTACAATTTCGCAGTTAAATGGTCGAAGTGCAAATTCTTCCAAAAACAAATCGAATGGCTCGGTTTTAAAATATCGAAATCCGGAATCGCCCCACTATTCGATAAAACCAAAGCAATTAAAGATATTCCAATCCCAAAGAATCTAAAAGAACTAAGATCATTCTTTGGGTCAACTAATCAGTACATTAAATTTGTACCAAATTTAGCATCCCTCGGAAGCCCGCTTAGACCTCTTTTAAACAAAAAGTCAATTTTCCTTTGGAATGAAGATCACTCAAAAGCTTTTGTCAAGATTAAATCAGAAATAGTAAATCTTACTGAAAACCCTCATTTCGACGTAAAAAAGCCCACGAGTGTAAAAACAGATGCTTCACATAATGGGTTGGGTGCATCCCTTGAACAACTTCATGAGAAGGTTTGGAAAACAGTGTCATTTGCTTCAAGATTTTTAAATCCCCATGAATCCAAATATTCAACAAACGAATTAGAGCTATTAGGAGTCGTATGGGCGGTCGAACATTACAAAAATTATCTCTACGGCTCTGAATTTGAAATTATCACCGACCACAAAGCTCTCCTTTCCGCTTTGTCACCAAATCACGGAAACAAAACATACCAAAGCCGATTGACAAGATGGGTAGATCGTCTCCTACCATTCAATTTTACTATCAAACATTTAGCGGGAAAAGATATGGGTTTTACAGACTTAATTTCAAGAACTCCTTCGGGTAAAGCAATTCCCTCATCACATTACGACGAAGAATTTGTAGTTGCTACCTTTGGATAATGAAAATCCATTACGTAATTCAATTAATTCGATTTCGGAAAATTCCCATTACACGAAATTACGAAATCACGTAATAATTACAGCATTGAATTTCGTCAACTCTTCCATTTCAATCTGCAATCAAAAACACTATAGAACAGAACTTTGTAACTCTAAATGTATTCCTTCGGATTTCTCAAACACTGATTTTACTAAAATTTCTCTATCAAATTCAGCTTTTATCTATTTTTTAATTCTTAACAGTAGCTTAATTAGTAATCCTTCGGATCTCAAACTTATAAATAGTGTAAATTTGTCAAATAACCAAATTGTAGTAAATCCTTCCACTTCCGGGATACAGGTCTCTATCGATTTTCAAATTTCCTCAGAACACAAGAAGTTAGTAACTAAATTCCGAGAAAACCTCAAGTTACCTGAAAGACCTTTGGATTTAAATACATTATTCAATGCAAAATTGGTCGCTTTATTAACGGAAGATGATGAATTGTTAAACCCAATTGTGAAAGCTTTACAGAAAAAAGTAGATAACATCAACTCAAATTCCCGTTACTTACACCAATTTTCGAAAGACCTTCATGAATCCGACGGACTATTATATATGGATGGAAAGTTGGTTATTCCGTTTACACTTAGAAACGCCGTTTTAAAAACCTTACATGAATCTCACCCTGGCCAATTCGGCATGAAATACTTGGCACAATACATTTGGTGGCCACACATATATCGACAAATTTACTTCCACGGGATTAATTGCACACAATGCACTCAAACCGGTAAGAATATAAAAAGCATCATACCAACTACACAAATTAGCGAACTTCCGACCTTATCCGAACCTAATGAGGAAATAAATCTTGATTTTGCCGGCCCACTAGATATTAACTGGGGAAACAATAAATACATCTTATTGTGTATAGACCGTTTTTCAAAATTCTCTTCAGCAAAAATTACATCTTCAACGTCATCAAACACAGTAATCGAATTTCTTCAAGATTATTTCTATCTCCATGGGATTCCAAAATCTATTCGGGTCGACCACGCATCCTGCTTTACTAGTCAGGATTTTAAGATATTTTGCAATTCTCTTAATATCAAACTAATATTTTGTACAGTTGGAGACCATCGTTCTAACGGTCTTGTAGAAAAACTTGTTCATACTGTAAAAATAAAATTATTAGCAATGTCATTGGATCAACAAAAACCTACATTACAAACCGCCATTTCGAAAATCATTTGGAATCTACGATCTTCCTTCCAATCTAAAATTAAATGCTCACCGTTCGAAATAGACTTTAATAGAAAACCGAACACGATCTGGAAGCAATTGGCATCTAATAATTTATCCGGTGGATTTTTAGACAAAGGGAAGTCGATCGTAAGCAGAGAAAGGGCCCTCGACTGCAAAGCTGACGATCGGATAGAGGACGGATACAAAGACTCCCTCATACCGAAAAAGAACCAGTCACCATTGGAGAAAGGCTACGATTCAGACCTTCCTACTACTTCAAAACCTCCATCATCCCGAGTGCACTTAAATAGTCCGTTTAAAGGTAAATTACTACGGAAAACTAACGGAAGTATAAACGGAAACCCCTTCTATAAACAACTAGGCCAGAAACTAATAAACTCAACAAAATCCACGGTTGAATTATCCGACGGAAAAATTATTAGAAAGTCGGACATCGCCATTCCAAAGTCTAAATCCTCTACAATTCGTTCATTCAAAGGAAATATCTCCTTTCCTTTTTTCTCTAACGGTGATTTACAAGTAGATCCAAGAAAGTCTTACAAACCGAAGACACAACAGACGCGGAAACCAGACACTAAGACAGGAAGACACACAGAGTCGTTCACCCCGGTCACCACCAGATCTAGAGGAACGAACCAGCCTTCAAAATCCAACAAATCGAAGAAGAACCGAAATAAAGCCTCGACGTCGAATACTGGATATTTAGCAGGTGATGAATCCATGTTCATTCCGTCGGATACGTCGGACATTAGCGATTGGGAATGGATTGCGGGAGGTTTTCCATGTAGAGAAATGATAAGAAAAAGCTTCATTTCAGATAACGTCAATTTTAACAAAGAACCTACCTCATCATTAGACCCTAAAACATATCAAACTAATATAAAACTTGAGATTTTAGACGATCAACCTGAACTCTCAGACACAGCGGAATGCCCAATTAGTATAAAACCAGCACCTCAAACTACCTCACACCCACCTGACGAACCTTCTACGGCTACGACAACGGAGACCCCAAACATTCCTTCGGATTTGACAAAACCATTGGTAGGAGAAAAACCGGTCAATTTCCCAGTTTTCGAGATAGAGGACTCCTCCGATGAAATTGGAACCAGCGAGGAAAGACATCCTAAGGAAACTACTACCACCGGTAACGAACTTATTTTACGACGTTCAAGTCGAAATGTTGGTCCCCCACAATTCTGTGGTAAGCGATATTACATAGATATTATAGATGAGTTAGAAAACCAACCAGGCTCCGCTACTAACCCTATATCTCTGGACGAGGATGACAACTCGAGCTCCCCCACACAAACATTCAGAGAGAATCCCTTGGATAATCAGACAAACACATTACCGGAAGACAGTACACCGGATCTAGCATACACCCAATCTCCCGATCAATTCTCCATCGCCTCTACTAACGATTCTCTGAGAGATGCCGTGAACTGCTTTGAAAATTACATCGACTTAGATAGTGAAATTTTCAACGCCGAGCTAGAAAAATTCATGGAAGGGGACAGCTAAACTCAATCAAACTTTAAAACTCGCATTTAGCCATTTAATTTGTAGTACTATTTCGTTTAAGTGCAATTAGAGCTTACCTAGCTGTAACTACGGATTACAATCCGCCGGATTTAGGAATTTTATTATCCTGTCTAATCCAGTAATTCCTTCGGAGCACTAAAATTACATTTTGTTTCACCGTGCAGTATTTAAATTTTCATTTTGTCGGACTTCTCGAGAGGGAAAAAAAGGGTTAGATAACATGTTAGGTATCATGGCGCTTAGTACTTTTATTTTTTTTCCCACTAAGGGGAATGTTGTGATTCTGACCATTTGTTTTATTTCACTAATTACTTTGAAGTATCTTAACTGGTTAATCTTGATTTGACCTTGTTATCTTCATTCTCTCCGACGGAGAGAATGACCGTTCACTTTTTAAATGTTTTAACTTAGAGATTAATTCACTTTTTAAACATATCTTATTTGTAACTAAGTAGAATTAACCGTAACAAAGGAACATTTTATCAGGGGAAACTGGAAAAGAGCCAACTAATCTACTGCTATGTTGATTATAAGGATGATTACAAAAGACGTCAAGCAATTTTAAGCAATTAATTTGAACCAATTGGCCTCATTTTGAAGCTGAAAACAATTTTTTTTGCATAAGAAAGGTCACAGAAATTGTCGAAAAAGAAATTTTGGCCTGTTGCGGAATCCGCTTATAACGATTCATAAAATGCACATTTTGGCCTTGTAATGATTATTTTGAAAAGTTTCGACAAAAATGCAGGAAATTTTTGCACAGCTAATGTGTTGGCTCTTTTCCAGTTCCCCCCTTTCAAAATACCCAGTGTTATATTTGTTTTACGTGTAATTACGGCTAAACGCGTGATGTTACGATGTGAAGTATGAAGAACAAATCTGTTCAGAATTGTCGATTTGTTCACCACGCCAAATTTCATTGCATTGTGACAACGTCAAATAGACTTTTGAAAATTGAATTTGAAAGGGGGGAAACTGGAAAAGAGCCAATGTGTTGTGAAATCTTTCAGGTCACACGTGTTATTTGTTAGGTCGTGGTCAAAATGGACATCCAAGGCTATGAGCCATACGGGCTGCTGGGGGCTGAGAGTCTGTTCACAACCCACAATGTCACCATGCTCTACATGGAGTGGGCTGAAATGAAAAAGTCGCTTAATGGAGAGCACAAGGTAGAAGCAAATGATAGCCCGATACTCTGTGACTTGCGGCTTCCTGCGTTTCCTTTTTCAGCACTTCAAAAAAAAATGAAAAAAAAAAAATGGAAAAAAGGAGTTTTTTCTGCTCCACAAATTTTCAAAGATAATCTGGGCTGTATAATCTTCCATTAAACTCTCTTTTTTAGTCATCTAGGTGAAAATAACGCAAAAATTACAGAACAAAATGAAAAAATTCAAAATGTAGATTTTTTTCGGTCGTTAGCCCTGAAAACTACTTTCTCCGACATAAAAAAGAGGTCAACTAATTTCAACTAAATCTACCCCACAAGTTTACAAAACTATTGACAGCTATTCACAACTTAATAGGAAAGGGGCCTAGGAATAAGACGAAAAGCAAATTAGACATGACCAACAAAAACGAATTTAGACGTCGATGCAAAATTACAAATATGGGAAATTAGATGTAATTGTATTATTTGTGTCTGAAATTTGGGCTCTTTTCCAGTTTCCCCACTTTCAAATTCAATTTTGAAAAGTCTATTTAACGTTGTCACAATGCAATAAAATTTGGCATGGTGAACAAATCGACAATTCTTCTTACTTTACAGCATCACATCACGCATTTAGCCGTAATAACACGGTATTTTGAAAGAATGGAAGTGGAAAAGAGCCGAAATTTGTATACTGACTACAATTATCTTTCGTTCGAGCTTTCTTAAATGCAAATCAACTTTTCACATTTCGCAATTTTCACATTCCGCATTTTTCACATGCCGCAATTGTATAATTTATGCATTTCAAAAATGTTTTATAATCTTGACATTAACATTTTATAAATCAATTGGGATAAATATTTTCATATGCAATGGGATCATACACTATTTTTGTAAATATGAAAATTTGTTTCGGGCAATAAATTTTGTTAGCCCTTCCGTCTAAAATGCTAGTTCTGCAAAAACAATTTAACGTCGAAACTCATTTTTGTTGGTCACGTCTAATTTGCTTATCGTCTAATTTCCTACCCCTCCTAGTTATAAAAGTTTAGCGCCGGCCCTGATTAAGGCAAATAAATTTTCCTCTGTCCTTGTTTTACATGCATTTATACTCTTATATGCTTTTATACTCTTGTTACATTTGCGTACCGTACCCAGTAAATTTTCTAGAACAGATCTGAAGTTATCTGTTTTAGATCTAAATTTCAGATCTAAAATAGGTTGTGAAGTGTTTAAATATTTCTTGGATACTTTAAAGATGGGCTATTTAAGATCTAATTTCAGATCTGAAATTTTGTTTTTCTTGATTATTTCAGATCTGAAATTTTGTTTTTCTTGGTTATTTCAGATCTGAAAAAATCTATTTCAGATCTAACTTCAGATCTGAAATTTTCTTTTTCTTGGCTATTTTAGATCTGAAATTTTCTTTTTCGTGGCTATTTCAGATACTTTAATCTGTTTAAATATTTCTTGGATACTTTAAAGATGGGCTATTTAAGATCTAATTTCAGATCTGAAATTTTGTTTTTCTTGATTTTTTCAGATCTGAAATTTTGTTTTTCTTGGTTATTTCAGATCTGAAAAAATCTATTTCAGATCCAACTTCAGATCTGAAATTTTCTTTTTCTTGGCTATTTTAGATCTGAAATTTTCTTTTTCGTGGCTATTTCAGATCTGAAATTTTGTTTTTCTTGGCTATTTCAGATCTGAATTTTTTTTTTGGCTATTTCTGGTCTCAAAAGTTTGGTTGATTTATTTATTTTATTACGTGCAAATCGGTTCAAAATAAGGAAAACATGAAAAAAACTCAACAAAATCACAATGATGTTTAAAAAAAAGTTTTTTATTAAATGTTGTTTTTCCCGATCCTTGGATCTTGGATTTTTTGGATCTTTGCGTCTCCATCTACGAAGAATCCAGCTATTGAAATTCTTTTAATTTGTCGGGTACTTGAAGGGTCGAAGATGGCTTTGTCGACCTTCGTCCGAATCTTCCGACCATCTCAAATTCTCAGCAATTGTAGTTTCTCGGCTGCAAGTACTCGCAATGCTGCCTAGGTCCAAGTCCAGTTCTAGGAAAAAAAACTATGACTCACAAATGACGCAAAAACGCAGTCCCGTTGCAATAGCTTCGATCTTTTATGAATATCTTTGTTGCGCCACTGATTATAGCGTCTTTTCTTCATTACAGAGACACCACTCGATAGGTAGTTAGCCGGACTTCTAGGTGTTATTTATAGATTTTTTAGTGATGTTTTGTGTAAGTTATAAGCAATTTTCCCGTTTCTTGAAAACAAAATTGTAATTTCTTTTCTAGGCAATGTAATGTTTACTCGTCCTTGCAAGCTACAAATGCAATCACGTTGGGTCTCGAACCGCTAACCATTCGTCTAAGAGGCATTGACGATCATTCATTGAAAAAAAAAATTCATTTGAACCTCTTCACTTTTTGCCAACAGGTGTTATCAACTCCGGAGTATCAGCAACTGGCGGAACGGACGGTGGGAAAACTGGTACTTGAGAGGGGCTACTCTGTCTACTCTATGGACACAGGAAATATCCTTAAGTGGGAAAATAGAAAGCAGTGGGCCAACAATGTTTTCCTGATCCACGCCGATGTCAAACATAGATTTTCGACTACGAAAAGTTTCCCACAGCCACTCAATTCAATATAATACCAGCGATGTTCATCCAAACTTGTAATTTACTTATATATAAACTTTCGGCAACGTTTGCTCTGGTTTATTGTCAATATTTTTGTAAATGTAGAGAAATTTTTCATGATTTTGCGCCGTAGAGGAGGGGGTTAAAATCTCGATCTCCTCCGACGCAACGCGTTTTAGTGGGCTGAAAGTGTTATTGTTATTCCTAACGAATTATACGTCTGTCAATACACGAGTATCGCGATTATTCATACTCGGCCTTGGTTTTTTCTTCAAACTTACTTCGGTGATTCGAATAATAAATTTGACAAAATCTTCAAATATCACATTATAGACAAACTCAATCAATCAGGGTCAATCTTTTCAATGCATTTGAAAATTTTCAAAAAAAAAAATGAAAAAAGTCGAATTTCAATTCATTAATGTTTTTCCGTTTCCTCCCCCACATGACATTTTGAGCAAACACAGATAACTTTTTTTTCAACCGTTTGAAAAACTTTGTATTCGAGTGTTTTAGTTTTTTGTTTTCCAAAATCATCAGGTACCACAAATAAAAATTGGAATGGATCGAATTATATATCATATTAAAATCCTTTCAGTTGTGACTCGAAAAATATGAAATTTATCAGAGTCGAGAAAAACTAATTTGAAACTTCTGATTTTTGGTCTAATTTTGAGTTAATAAGATTTGTAAAAATGAGGTTTGCAGGTAAACAATAATTTATTTAAGCTTAATTTAAGCCGCGAAACCGTTTTACACAACTAAAGTTAATTTTTTGAAATTCAAAAGAAAAACAGTATGAATTGCATTAAGGCTTAACAAACGGTTGAAATATTGCGTTAAAAGGAAAAGTTTGGGATCAAAAAAGGAAAAAAAAAACGAAAAAAAAAACTGACTTAATTTATTTTTAAATGCTCACCATACAATTTCTATATATGGAAATGGTATGACAAGCATTTTCACCATAAGGGATATTTTTTTAGAAAATTTTGCAAACCAGTTTTTGGACACTTCAAATGAATTGTTAGCATTTTTTTCAAAGAATGAGAACAAAATGCGATAAGAAATCAGTTCAATTCCAAGTAAACGAGAAGCAATCAAGCATGAAAAAAAAATTTCTTTTGATTTTTTTTCTCTCGAAAATGCTTTGATGCAAGAAGCCTTTTATGGAATTTGTCATCCTTTAGCATTATTACGGATTGCAGACAGGTAATAAAGCACTATATTTATGTAATTTAATCGTTTTCCATAGAACAAAAATCAAAAATGAAAAAAAAAAAAACTGGAAGATTCTGTAATTTTTGCGACGTTTTTTGAAAAAAATATGGTTGATATGTAGTGAAAGAAACCGAGAAAGGGTATTATTTCAAATTTTTCAATAATTTTTCATTTTCTACAAATTTTTAAATCTATCAAAATGTTTTTTTTTCAAATTTCAGGAAATTCACATTAATCACCAATATTAATGTCGACTTACCAATCGATTTCCGATTTGAGCAATATTTTCTGTTGGGTGCCCAAAAACCAAAAAGAAAGCAAAACTAAAAAACTTATTTTTTTTTTCATTTAAAAATAGCCAGTTAAAAAATAAAAAAAACTTTATCTGGAGAAAAAAACACCCCGACCACATATATTCTGTCAATTGTTTCCAGAAAAACAGTATGAATTTTATAAGGGCTTAAGAAACGGTTGAAATATTGCGTTAAGCGCAAAATTTTGTATCAGAAAGGGAAGTTCATTTGGCATGTAAAGCTCGCCTGAATAAATGTTCTGCCGTTAATATCAAAAATTATTGTAAATTTTTGACTGCTTCTTCGGCAAACAGGAGAAAACTAATGGCCTAATTTTTGATGCTTAGTAAATTCCTAATCTCAGTGGTTGTGAAGTTATCAACTTTACAAAAAAAACACTTTATCGAATTCCTGTCTCGTCGCAGCTTTTGCGTTATGGAGTTATGAAAACTAAATTTGCGGATCTGATTTACGGATCTGAAAAAAAATTGCGGATCTGAAAAAAAATCTGATTTACGGAGCCGAAAATCAAAACAATAAATCAATTCTGATATATACTACACTCTTTTACGCTGCGCGAATAACCGAATATAATAACTTTAATCTCAATTTTTTTTTTCGGTTTTCTGGCTCCCTCCTAGATTGACTTCAATTGTTTTTTAGGTTATTTTTTGTTGTCTTGCCATGTTCCTAGTTTCAAAGACACTTACTTTGCTCCTTATATGCTGTTTATTGCTACAGATCTCAGGTTGAAGCGTTTACAGTCCTCAATACGGTGTGTTAGTTTCCATATTGTTTTCTAGTGTCGATAGTTTTCTTCAAATTGTGCCCTAAATTTCTTGTTTTCATACAACTCTGGTTCAAATGAGGCAGTAATCTTTCTTAAACTTGCTGAATGTTAGCAGGGTGTGGATTAGGAATGCAGATTGACTAGTTGGGCGAGGTACAATCAGATTTTTTAGGTTTTTTTTAAATGTTTATAGCAAGTGATTTCATTTTTTTATATTTTACGGTTGAAATGGTGTTTTCCAACGCTGAATGGTACAATTTTACTCGTAATTCAATTTAAAGAGCATAATTCGACGCATGGAAACTATCAAAGTTTTAAAAAATTTAAATTAGTCAATTCGACAGGTCGCTTTGGGTGTGCACTTTTTGTGTTTGCCTACCCCAAAAAATGAGAGCTTTTTTTTTACAAATTTTTTTTCAGGGATGAAAATATCCTTAAAATGTGTCGGAATTGATTGACACGTATTCAGTACTGTTATAGAAGTACGTTAAGAGCAATATTTTTGGATGCAAAAAATCTATAAGTACAGTTTGGGGGGCTTGTTTTGGCCTGAAATATCGCTTCAAAAAATGTTCTGCCCTTTATATCAAAAGGTACTCAGTAATTTTTTTGCATTTTTCTGCGATCGTTAGAACTTTAAAAGGGCTAAATGTTGATATATAATAATTTCTCAAACTCAGCGTGATTGTGAATTTTTTTGAAAAAATCCCAATTTTTTTTAAAGTTTTTGCATGTTGCAGGTTTTGTGTAACAGAAATGTGAAAACTTAACAGCCATCGACCGAGGAATAACAGATATTGATTTTGATATATAATACGCGCCGAAATTAAAATTGAATGTGACTATATATTTTTCATTTCGATAAAAAAAATTCTTTTTTCCGGCTTCGTGCTCGCTCCAAAGATTGGCTAAATTTTTAATTTCACCTCAACTTTTCTCACAATCTGTTGATAAATATCGTGTTTATAACAGTGCTCAATTTTGTTATAAAAAGATTTCTAAACTCGAAGTGGATGTGACTATATAATTTTTTTACATAATAAAACCCTTTTTTTGGGCTTCAGGCTCGCTCCTAATATTGGCTTAAGTTTTTGTTTTAACATATTTTGTTTTGCTTAATGTTTATAGCTTTTGGAAGAACTAAAAACAAAGCTGAATTTCGATATACAAAACCTTTCTAAGTTCGAAGTGATTGTGACGATATAATTTTTTAAACTAATTCTAAAACCTTTTTTGGGGCTTCAGGTTTAAACATGTTTTTTTTTGCTATATGTTTGTAGAAATCGGAAAAAACAAAAACAAAGCTGAGTTTTGTTATATAAAACGTTCCCTGGTTCAAAGTAAGGGTGAAGATATAATTTTTTATAGAAAAAAACCTTTTTTTGGTCTTCTGGCTTGCTCCAAAGATTGGCTTAAGTTTTTGATTTCACTTAAATTTCTTTGCAATCTGATTATAGCAATACTAAGAACAGTTTTTAGCTATCTATCTCACTTTTGCTAATATACTGCTAAAACAACCCAATTTTTTAAAACTGCCACCAAAGTAGCATTTTTATTTGCAAATTAGGTTAGAAAAAAAGAAAGTTTGTAGTTATTTACTCCGCTACTGCATGTAGTTATTTACTGTTATTTGTAGTTTGTAGTTTGTAAGTTTGTAGTAATTTACTGTTATTTAGAATCTAAAAAGATCAGCAGCGACAGATTACAACGCAGATGATGAGAGTGATGAAATCGACCGTGCAATGATGGAAGTGGAGCCGCTGCTAGAAGCGTCGAGATCTCGGAACTTGCGGAGTATCATGCTGACGCATGATGAGTTTCGGTGCCACTGTTTGTTGCATACATGGTGGTATCCCGCGCGTATTAATCTAGTGCTCTTAAGGGACGCTGGAGAGCTGCTCTCCATGGGTTTACCAGACTCATCACAAAGAATAACGATTATCGTAGTTGGAGTGATGATGGCAATCAAGTGGCTAGAAGCACTTCAAAAAAAAAAGAAAAAAAAAATGGAAAGAAGGAGTTTTTTCTGCTCCACAAATTTTCAAAGATAGTCTGGGCTGTATAATCTTCCATTAAACTCTCTTTTTTAGTCATCTAGGTGAAAATAACGCAAAAATTACAGAACAAAATGAAAAAATTCAAAATGGAGATTTTTTTTCGGTCGTTAGCCCTGAAAACTACTTTCTCCGACATAAAAAAAGAGGTCAACTAATTTCAACTAAATCTACCCCACAAGTTTACAAAACTATTGACAGCTATTCACAACCTAATAGGAAAGAGGCCTAGGAAATTAGACGAAAAGCAAATTATACATGACCAACAAAAACGAATTTAGACGTCGATGCAAAATTACAAATATGGGAAATTAGACGTAATTATATTATTTGTACCTGAAATTTGGGCTCTTTTCCAGTTTCCCCACTTTCAAATTCAATTTTGAAAAGTCTATTTAACGTTGTCACAATGCAATGAAATTTGGCATGGTGAACAAATCGACAATTCTTCATACTTTACAGCATAACATCACGCATTTAGCCGTAATAACACGGTATTTTGAAAGGGGGGAAGTGGAAAAGAGCCAAAATTTGTATACCGACTACAATTATCTTTCGTTCGAGCTTTCTTAAATGCAAATCAACTTTTCACATTTCGCAATTTTCACATTCCGCATTTTTCACATGCCGCAATTGTATAATTTATGCATTTCAAAAAAGTTTTATAATCTTGAAATTAACATTTTATAAATCAATTGGGATAAATATTTTGATATGCAATGGGATCATACACTATTTTTGTAAATATGAAAATTTGTTTCGGGCAATAAATTTTGTTG